CGCGGAAGTGCTCGGAGCGGTGGAAGGAGAGCGGGGCCTGGCCGGGCCCAGCCGAGCCGCGCCGCGCCCAGCCCTGCCCTGCCGGCCCGGCCCCCGCCCCTGCTGCGGGCTGCCGGGAAAAGATCCCTGGCAGCAGCTGCTGCTTAGGCGTTAGTGGGTCACCGGGCGCTTTATCTGACCCAGGCTCTCCTCCTTTTCCCCTCCGTGTCTCCGCAGACGATGTCTAGCAAGGAAAAAGGGAAGTTTGAAGAAATGGCTAAAGGAGACAAAGCTCGTTATGACAGGGAGATGAAAAACTATGTTCCTCCCAAAGGCGAGAAGAAGGGAAAGAAGAAGGACCCCAATGCTCCTAAAAGACCACCGTGAGTGTTTCTGTGAGCGGGGGAAAAAAACCCAAAAGTATTAGTTCTAATAGTCTGACACTTAATTTTAATCACTGCCTCTCATTTTAGATCTGCGTTCTTCCTTTTCTGTTCTGAACATCGTCCAAAAATCAAAAATGATCACCCTGGCTTGTCTATTGGAGATACAGCAAAGAAATTAGGAGAAATGTGGTCTGAACAGTCAGCCAAAGATAAACAGCCATATGAACAGAAGGCGGCAAAACTAAAGGAGAAATACGAAAAGGTAGAGTGAAAGCGATAACATAATGGTTAAAGTTGTAGAGGTCGCTGTAAATGTGTGACTTTTGTTTTGCACCTAAGCCATACATGGTTCATAATTCTAAATGTTTATGTCAGCCTTTGTCAGGCTTCAGAATGCATGGAAAGGTGTGGCCTGGGAGGCATCTGGAACCCTTACGGTGAACCTGGATGTGGTCTTTACATGTCTAGAGATTTTACCAATAAGATGCTTTACTTCCAGAAAAACGGGTCACCTGCTTGGAAAAATACAGGGTCATGCTCCAGAGCGCTGCGGTCATAAAATTATTAAAACCGGATCGCGCGTTCTCTTGCCAAAAGGTTGTAAGCGTGAAAGTCCCAAGGTTGAAACCCCGCTTTTCCGCACGCACTGTATTTGATCTGCACGCTATAGCATTAAGTTATTGAAGCAGTACAAATTTGTCTTCAGAGTTACATTGCCAGCAACTAAACGGCATTTTTCTTGCAGGATATTGCAGCATACCGTGCCAAGAGCAAGAGTGACGCAGGAAAAAAGGGCCCAGGTAGGCCTGCAGGATCTAAGAAGAAAGCAGAACCAGAAGAGGAGGAGGAGGAAGAGGAAGATGATGAAGAGGAGGAAGAAGATGAGGATGAGGAATAAATGAATGTCCTGCTGTAAAGATTTATGCTCAAAATCCAATATTTTGCTAAGAATGTGAACTCAAGTGCAGCTCATTGTTAGCTTCAGTATAAAAATCTGTACAGAATTGTGTATAGGTAATGTGGTTCTTTGTAGGGAGACCTCTATTTTTAATGTAAGTAGTAGCCGAGGGCTGCTACCGTTCGGTTTAAAAAAAAGAAGAAAAAGTTGTGGAATGTTTCTGCATATTTAATGGTTTTGTTGAGATTCAGTGACTGATAGCCAGGTGTTTCTTTATAGCTAAGTAAAACAAAGGAGGTAGCTTAATAGCTGATCTTATATTTTGTAGTATATTGCATTGTATTACTTTTTTAACAATTTTGTAATAAAATGTTGTACATGATTGATTGTTGTATTCTTGATGTTTCTGAGAGGCTGGGTGCTCCCAGAGTGCTGAAGCCCTGCGCGGGATCAGGCTTTGCCTTGTACTTGGGCTATTGCTGCTGCCACAGAACTGGCCAGTCTTGAAGTGTTAACTCCTGAAGTTTATGCTGGATTTGAAACTTTTTTCTCTCTTTAACCACAATTCTCTCCCCCATGTACGCTACCCTTAGTGGTAACCGATGTGTTACTTAGGCAAGCATTTCCTTGCATCGCCTCCTGAGTGGAAAAAGTATCTCTGTGTAAGTACCAAAGTTGCTGATATTTCTAGATTTCCCCCCCGCAAAACTACTGAAGCAGAGCTCTTAAAGTTTTGCCTTGGTGCGTTAGCTGATAATGAGTGAGCCTTCGGAACTTTTTCCGCCGGAGCTCAGGGTCCGTGGCCTTTCCTGCTGCTCAGACCAGGATAGGAGAGGTGGCTCTTAAGGCAGATGTGGTTAGAGGTGTGCCTGCCCAGATGTTCCCTGCTCCTTCCCTCTCCCCCCCGGCCCGGGCAGTAGTGGCTTCTCATAAAATACACAGCTTGCAGAACAGCATGAAAAACGTTGGAATGTTATCTCCGCACATGCCAGTGGATTCCTGCAGGAAAGAGAGGCGGCATTTGTGAAGAACATGTGCTCCTGATGCGTTCCTGGTTGTGGTGGGAATACTATCGCCAGTTACGCTGTTTCTTGGTTTTCAGTTTTTTATTCAGCCTTTAGTATATTTAAAGGTCTCAATCTAGATATCTATTTGCAAGGGGGGAATTGGAGATCCCACAGCACAACTAATTGCCTAAGTTTAATTTGTTGCGATAAACACTAGGCAATAGCTTTTACTAGCCTTTGAAAGCCCAGCACAGAAAAACATTTAACGTCTGAAGTATTAAGTACTGTAAAGGGCAGGCTTCCAGCTTTATTCTTGTTTTTAAAGTGTCTCCCTATTGTCCATCAACTTCTGAAATAAATTTGCACACAGTCATTGTCCATGTGTAAGATAAAGGGTGATTTCGGCACTATAAACATGCCAAATGTCACTCTGCTAGGTTAAAGGTAACGTCGCACTTTCTGAAACAAGCGTCTTGACAAAACCACTTTGTGAAGGGAAATAAGGTAACTGTAAAGGCAATGCAAACATTTTTGCGTTAAGGAGGTACTAACCTTTGAAGGCCTTAGAAACCTGGAGTTGTTTTTTCCTCCCTACCCTGCCCCCCGAGATACTTAAAAGCAGTATCAGAAGGATTAGCTGCCGTTTTACATGTCGGCCCTGCCAGAGGTACTCGGCAGGGGCAGGATCAATAGCTCCATTTTGCAAGCTCAGCTTTTGGGAAGCCACAGGCATAAACTGGCAGCGAGAGGCAGTTCTTCTCTGGGCAGTACATCCAGTGCTCAAGAACATTTTCTCTCGTAGAGAGTTAGCAATCCTAGAGCACCTTTATCCGTAATGCAGAAATTCTTCCAGCTAGAGGCAATTCCCCGTCCTAGCGTGTAGCCCGGACTATGCTGGTCTCGCTTTCAGCAGATTCTGTTCAGATTTCCCTGTAGAAACTCGCCATCACCTCCCCTCGGTTCTCGGCCTCCCTCCGGAATGGAACGGCGATGCTTCAAGAAGTCTTTCTGATTAGATTTAAATAATCTTTTGCAGTGGAGCAGTGGCATCAGAGTAAATTGACTGGTTTGATTATTTGAAATGTTTTTTACTTCTGCTCGAGTGCTTTTAAATTGAAATGAAATATAAGCCTTCAGGTGTGCTAGAAAGCTGCATGGGTTACAGAATTTTAAACATTGTGCCAGAATAAGAGCATATCTTGAGGTAATTCAGAATAAAGGAGCTCTTCTGATATTTTTCTCAGTGAGATAAAATGACTTTTGGGTTCAATTCCGTTTAGCGTTAATTGGCTAATTTAGCTTCAACACAACTTCTCCACAAATCAGTGTGGAACTGCCTAACGTTGCCACTCTGTTGTCCCACGCCCTAACGATGCTCTACGAAAAGCCACCTGTGGGTTACTTTTGTTTATGGTCTCATTTGCAAATATATATCCTGACTGCTGGAGATCTTAATTGCAAAAACAGTCTATTGCACCGCTCTACTAGCCTGACCCACATCATTACACAGATCATTTTGTGTGCAAGCCATGGCAGCACGAGCTGCAGCAAGCCACGGCAAAGCTCTGCATCAAGCTGATCCATCAACTAAGAATAATGTCTTGACTAAAGATAATTAGTAATTTTTTAAGATAATATTTTGTCCTCTCGATAAGAAGGATGTTGAATATAGATTAAAGGCAAATGGAAAAGAGAATATAGAAGTTACTACTTTCGACTTAAGCTTTAAAAAGTATGGTATGTCAGGTCAGGGGGTTCAGGTAATGCCCATCTGTGAGCGCTGAAAGAACTAGGACTGGAAAGGACAAGGAAGCGATCAAAGTGCAACGGAAACGTTCAGAAAAGATAAGGCCGCAGAGGAAAAGCCAAATTAGTTCTTCACACCCGTGTTCAATATGGGCAATCTTATGAAATTACTCACTGGAAACTTTTCACTGGAGGTGAACTGGGAGGTCTGTCTTAAATCAAAACTAACAGGGACGCCCAGAATGGTTGCAGGCATCAGGGAGACTGCTCACGTTGCATTACAGGTCCAGCAAAAAGGCGTACCACCCAGTAAAGCAGACCAAAAGACCACCAAAAATAAGACTGAGGTGGACAAAGAGCAGGTATGAGAGAATAACAAATGTAGGAAAGCAGTCTTTAAAAAACTGAAGTTCTTTCTAAACCAGTAAATGAGAAGAAACGTGCACCCTGACAGGCCAGATGCAGCCATGTGTGGCAGGGAAAAATAGCATCAGAGCAACGTGAGAAAACACACGGATTAATAACAACTTTCAAACACATCAGAACCAGGAGACCTGCCAAGCAGTCCCAGGGACTGTAGATGGTCAAGATATAGTAGCAATGCCTAGAGAAGATTTCAGGAAAGGAAAACTTTTTTTAACCTTGGAGTGGAACTTCAGGAAGTTTTCATGACAGAACTTTTTAATGGGAGAGGCATGGTGGAGCATCTGTCTCAAATCCAAGTGTAAAAGGTTTTGAAACAAAATGACAGGACAGATGGTATTCATCCAAGAGTTCTGAGGAAATTCAAGGATGAAATGGCTGAACTGTGAACCGTACTTTATACTTTTTCACTTAAAACTGCCTTAGTGCTAGAGGAATGGAAGGTCACAAATATGACACTAATTTTCCGAAAGCATTCTGTGGAGATACAGGGAACTTCAGACCAGTAATGTCCATATGGCAAGTTGGTAGGAGCCATAGTACAGCTGAGAGTTGCTGGACAAATGGCTAAATAGGACTTGCGGTTTCACAAGAGGAAATCCTGTTCCACAGGCCCGTAAATATTCTTCGAAGAAATCGGTGAACATGAAGGTAAGGGAGATCAGGTAGTTCTGGTCTACTGGAGTTTGGTCTGTTCTACTTCTCATAAAAGAAATAAGTCATCATTAAAGGCCTTGCATGAATAAATAGCTGGTTAACAATACAGGAACAAAATAGGAATTAGTCATCAGTTTCACCAGCGGAGGAAAATCACCTATGAAATCCCATAGGTTATTTTTGGAGATGGGGGTTAATGGCTAGTGAAGACTGTTTAATATACACATAAGTGTCTTGGAAAAAGCGGCGAATGGTGCTGCAAGAAAGATGAGAGCTAACAGCGAAGAACTGCAAAGCCAGCCTGTAGCCTGAAGAGGCAGGATAATAAAACCAGCAGGTGAAATACGGTGTTAATATGGAGTGTATTAAATGTTAACACGTGCTCCCCCAACACACGTGAAGGGGAAAAAGCAGGCCTAATGTTTATGTCATGGGTAATGAGGGTGGACAATAAACTACATTACATGAGTCTGGAGGAGATGCTGGAGCTGTAATAGATAATTCTGTGAAGACGTAATAGATGTTTGCTGGAAAAGCAAATAGCATGTTAGGGATTACTAGGTAAAGAGTTAAGAACCAAACAAAGATTTAGTATTTCCTTACTGTCTTCCTAAAGAAATATAAAGTTTCCTTTTTCTTAAATCAACTTAGAACAAAGCCTATTTACAAAGTTGGTCTTACTTTTCCCAAGCAAAACCTATGGTCTGAAGAACTGTAAATATGCCTCTTTTGGTTTTGTGTGGGTTTTTTTGTTTGTTTGTTTGGTTGGTTGGTTTTTTTTTGGTGTGTTTCCAAAAGGAAAACCTTGATCCAAACAGCTACAGACCTGGGAACTGACTGTAGTACATACAGGCTTTAGAACTCAAACAACATAAAATTGCAAACGGGTGTGGAGAGAAAATCAGAAAAAATGGAATAGGAGTTTTATCTTTGATTACCTAATGATCTATTGAACTGTTTTCGTAACTGTCTGTTGCAGGCGTCTTGAATGTAACATGGGTACATAATCTAGTACTTAGTGCTCAGTGATGGATTATTTGCTGTGGTGGTGACTGTCACTGATCCTGCTTCCCTTGCCTTACCATCCTTAGCATATATTTATTTTTCTGTTTGTTTTCTCTTTTTGGCTTGTATTTCTTTCCACATCTTGAAATATGTAAGTGTTTTGCCAGCAACCCCTGCATTTCCAAAATTGCTGGGCCTCTCGTATGAGCTGCATCACAGCCCCGTCTGCTTTTCCATGATTTCTTTTGATTTCAGTGTCAAGAATCCCGTAACAGAGCCCAGATGTTGAGCTTGCTGCTGCGTTCTCCAATGCACGCAGCCCTTGAGGGATGTATAACTCTGCTAACTGTGGGATGTGCACGAGATTCGGACCTACCCAGTCAAAAAGTTGACTGCCTACCCAAATTTATCTTCATCGGTGCGATTAAGCAATTGTCACAGGCCAGCACCAATTAGTGAGTGAAACTGTGCGTTACTCTGACTAGCCTGATACCCCGAGATCAACTATCCCCCCAAGCCTCACTGTTGGAGAGGCTCTTGAT